GATTATGAGATTGACGTGCATTATGATTGTGAAATCTATATTTACGGCTTTGATATTAATGTGTTGATATGATTCTTACTGATTTTGGTTTGTTCATAATTAGTTTATGTGCATGTCGATCCCTTTGGTCCATTTTTTCTTTGGCTATGATAAATTGATTGGAGTTTATTGTTAAGCCGTGTCCTCGCCTTAGAGAAATTAGTTGCTGTTATGTGCTTTATATTAAGCTATGTCCTCGCCTTATAAAAAAAAAAAGAAAAAAATTAAAAAAAAAATGTTTTTTTTTTTAGGTTTTAATTTTTTTATTCTAACTTTTTGCTTTCTCGAGTGCTTGTCTCTTATCTTACACTCTTTCGTAGGATACAACCACACAACCCCTTGAACTAAGGTGGAGTTGAGAAATCAAGCATTCATTTGCTCGTGCACGATGAGTTTCATTGGCGATATAACAATCGTCAAGTGCTTGAGTTGAGGGGGAGCCGAAGCCGAGCTCGGGCCACGCCACTCTCATATTCGGCGTTTACTGTTCATGTTTTCTGACCAAAAAATGGGAGATGGAGTGCTTGGATTTATCACTGTTTGTGTTTCTCTTCCTTATCTCTTTTATATCCGTTTTTCTTTTCAATGTGCTATTTAGGGGGAGTGGTTAATGCTTTATCACTGTTTGTATATATTGTTTTGTTTAGAAAAGCAAAAAGAGGGAGATTGTGGTATACGTGTTTTTTTACATATTTTTATTTTATTTTTTTATTTTGCCTTTCTGATTTATTTTTGTGTATATATTAGTTTTATTTATTTCGTATATTATTGTTATTTGATTTCCTTTTCTTATTAGGATTCTGACTAGGAAAGAAGAGATAAGAAGGAAAGGAGATTTCTTGGTCAAAGTATAATAGGAAAAAGATTGGACTGCAAGCAACGTGATTTTGTGGAGATAAGAACATTATTTTCCTTGAGGCAGCACTCATATTTTTGGTGGAGAAGAAAAAGAATTGCAACAAGCCTGTAGGTCTCAAGTATTTTATTTTGTTCTGGGCAAGCAACTACGTGGGGTAATTAAAAGGAAGAGGACAAGCATTAGGTTATTTGTCTTCCACAATAATTAGAGCAGCGTGGAGTTCATCAAGCAAACATGAGCAGTGTTTCTTTACCTTACTTGGAAGAATGTCACAGCGCGGGGCAATTCGGCTTTGATATTTTTCATCTTTTCTTTTGGCATTATTTATTTGATGATCTGAAGTGATATAGTGCATATTTTTCATATTTCACTAGACATGTTGGAGATATTTTGAATTTGTTTGAAAAACATTGTGATTAATTTATTCTATTGGAATTTTGGCATGTGGACTTGTCTACAAGTGCATATTCACTTGTAGGATAAATTTTTAATCTTTCGTATTTAGTTAATTTTCGCTGCGTATTTTGATTCTTGATTTTCGTGTGAAATTTGGAATATTCGGTACCTAAAATTCTAACACGAACCTAGCTAGTTCTGTGTGTAGAGTTCGCTTGCATCTCCTTAAGCTCAATTCAATTTCTAATTGTTGCTTGGACAATATGCCGCTCGGGTCTCTATATACCTTCAAACTTCCACAAGTTGCGTGACAAATTGGTCAAATTATATAGTTGTGATTAAATTCTATATATATATATATATATAGATAGATATATATTATTTTTAATTTAGTCAGTATTTCCATTACACTACTGAAAATGTTCTAAAAAATAAGGACAAAATTTTTGTTTTTACTAATAAAATTAAACTTCATCAATTTAGTTATTATATACCTAACTTTGTGCTTTCGCTACAAAATGAATCTTCAACAACAAAATAGATTGTATTACTGATGTGACATCATATGCAATTTATTTTAGTATATATATATATATATGTGTGTGTGTGTGTATGTATATATATGAATTGGTTGAGAGATCAAGTGAGAGTGATTCTTAGTCGAAGAAATAAGAATACATCATAGCTATAAGATATGGTAATCCATCGACCAATAAAAATCAAAATTTACCAGTCATTAAGGGTACTTTGAACATTATATTCCACCCCATCCACCATCTCTCTCATCCTTTTATCGCAAATTGGATGCCTTGCTTGGCCTAGCACAGATAAACAAAGACAGGTTTTGTAAAAGTGGAAATTAGAATTTTTTTGGCAAAAAGGATTTTATAGGGGAAAGGGTGTAGGTCGATCGACCTAAGCCATTGGATCATAGTCGATATTAACAGTCAGGATCAAGTGAGTGAGCAGAAGGGTGATTCGAGTAGAACCATTGGACCGTTGTCAGAATCAACGGCTAAGATCTGAAGGCGAAGGGACAGATCGTGGTGAGCCGTTGGATGGTGGTCGAATTCAATGGCTGAGATTAGATAGGCCAGATAAAGAGACAACAAGAATCTAACCATTTAATTAAAGGTGAATTGATGGGCATCATTAAAGATGCATTTCATGGGAATGTTGTACAAGGCCAATGTGAATCACAGAGTGATGATGTAGATAAGACTGTGTATTGATTGATTGGATCCGACAAAGAAACAAAGTTTGAATTTTGAAATTTGAACTAAAGACAACAAGGGGAGGTCGAAGGTTGTGTCGCAGTATTACATATGTGGGCAGACAGGTCAAAAAAAAAAGAGTTGGAACCCATCAACCAAAATCAGAGACAAAAACTTACTCTTAATCGAGTTATCATAACTCGACCACATTGGGGACTGGATGATATGAGATAGCACACCAGCTAGAACAAACCCGATAAATCGGTTGACCAGGCCGTGCGGACTGGCTGGTCGAACAATAACATAGATAGGTCTAACGGAGGTCGAAGATCAGTACAGAACAAAGAGTTTTCAGGTCGAAGAAAGTGTTGGAGGTTCAAAGAGACACCGACAGGTCGAGTTACGGCCCTTGGACGACATGGTGGAAACTCGGCCTGAAGGTAGGATCGATCGTATGATTGGCCAGAGGGATATGACACATGGACTTGACGTGCCCGATATTCTCGAGGTGATTCAAGCCAGTCGCATGATTGGGCAATCTAAGGACAAACTAATGGATAAGAAGTAATATTAATTGGATAAGAACCACACGAGGATAAGGCCACGTGGCCTAATAGAATTGAGCAGTTATCGGACTGTACGAACAGACTGTTTGTGGCCGTCCAACACTTCACTCGGGTAGTCTTGGGAAACAAGGTAACAATTCCTATCAACATGAGTGAGGTATTCCATATAGAACATTACACTCTCTAGATTACATAGTGCTCATCATCTTCTTCACGTCTCTAACTTAAGCATCAAAGACTCTTCACCAGAAAATCCTTATGGTGTGGAGTTTTTGTAAGTCTCGAAGGACGATCTACCGGCGAGGAATCTAGATCAAGTCGAAACTGAGCTGGTCGAGGGTCTTTTCGTACCACAGAGGGTCATAAAAAAATCGTAGCATAGAATGTCGCCTAGGGTAACCTACTTTACAGTTGAAACTACTTGGCAACTTGGCAGACTGCGATTTGGTCATATCATATTTTAGGACATAATAAATTTTATATTCATTTCCTTATCTTCTAGTTATAATTTTTTTTCCTAAGAATTCCACAATCTGTTGGATGTCTTAATTAAATTATACATGTTGTTCAACATGTTCTTTAGCTCATTTCTGCACTTTAAGTTACTGTGATGCCAAGAAGAAACATACATATACGAATATGTGACATTTATGAAAAGATGAAAAACAATAAAATTAAGTTGAAGCTAGTATTTTTACATCATTTCTTAAGAGCGACATTAACTTACACTAGTAGTGCAGAAGATAACTAGTGCATTCGAGCAATCATATCATGTATTGCGCCAATCAACATTCATGTGGTTAATAGTCCCATAATCAACGTGACAATCCATATCTTCCAACATAGACCCATCAACCCATGTGGGTCGAATCCCCAAGTAAATAGGTAATTTCCTTCCTCAAGAATTCGATTTTCTAAACAATTACCCATGAACATCATTCCCATCAATTTCCTTTCAACTTGATTTTAAAATAAGCTCAACATTCCCATAAATTTTCAATATGAGAAAATATTTTCGACCCATGATTTTTGTTGTGTGCACTATGATAATTTTGGTCCACAAAGTAATCATCATTGAGGTCGTCTCCATGGTCCCAATTTAATTTATTATAGTTCAACGGCGACAAAAAATATTAATTGTATCACAAAGTACTACTCATTTGATCATAATTATGATCAATAGTACCTTATGTGTGAAAGACGATCGTTCACTACAATATTGAAGGAAAGTCGGTTGGATGATCCAACTTTCTCCATTTTGAAGATGGATATCAATGGAAAGACTATGAAATACAACTCTAACATGTAAATGACTCACCAATTTTGTCCTCTATATGGCAAGATCCAATGACATCTAATTTCCTAGAGATGGTACATTTAATTTTTTTTTTATTAAAACTATAACAAATTAATCTATTTTTTTTTTTTTGGTACAATGAACCTTCCGGTTTCCGAATCCCCTAGGGGACCGACTAATCCGGAATCGAGCCGGGTAGGACCACAAGGGCGGCAAAGCTCTACCTCAAGAGTTTTAACACAGCTGCATTCCCAGGGTTCAAACTCGAGACCTCTGGTTAAGCTGGGAGAGACCCCAACCATCTCACCCACGTGCTCTTAGGTCGAATTAATCTATTTAACTGTTATAAACCGGCCTGATATAAAAAAATTATGGTTTTTAAAATAGGAGGTCAAAAAGAGGAATGTATTACTTGGAGCGTTATTTAAAATAGGTTGACAAAAAAGGAAAATTGTATATTTCACATATTTTCTTTACCCAACATCTATTTTTCCCTTTTTGTGGTTTGACCACTTTGAGGAGCGGATAAATATATGAGCCTTGGATTTTATTTTTTTTTATGTTCTTTCATGTTACCTCATCTTCCACCAGCATAACACTACTCCTCACCCCCAAATAAATAATAATAATAATAATAATAATAATAATAATCTTTGTCCTCTCATCTCATCAATGGCTGGAACAGCTCAAAGTGGTGAAGAGAGGCGTTCTCGGAAGACACCATTCAATGCCAACCCTCCTAAAATTGCTATTTACTTCAAATCTCAGGTATCTAATGTCTTCTGTTTTTTAAAGTTTCAATTTACTCATTAATTATCCAATATACTTTTTATTATTTTAACTTTTTTCTTTTTCTGTTCTCAATTCAGAAACACAATTTTTAAATTAAAAATTATTTTCTACTTCACATTTATTGCCAAAATTTATTATTACCCTCTCACAAATTTATTACTAATAATAATAATTATTACTTTGCTTTATTTTTTCGTATTAAAATTATTCATTCTGTTTTTTGTAATAAATGTATTTTCATTGCCTTAATTGTACACTTAATAAATCCGCATAATGCCACTGTTCACATAATCCCCCTCTCTAATAACATGTTAACAGGATCACTAGCTATTCACTTATTATTATTCCTGCAGTTGAGTTTTTCTTCAAATTTTGAGTTTTTTCTTATAAAAAGTTTTTCTTCATATTATTGGGAGATGCGTGCTGATATTGATAATGGCCAACCATACTAATTTAATTATAGAATCAAATTTATTTCTAATAGCTGTGTTTTTGCTTATTATGAAGTCAAGTTTGTGATTTGTCCCTTTCTCTCTGTCTCTTTCTTTTTTTTTTTCTATTTTTGCGTAAGTTTTTCCTTTTCTCTCTCTCCTTTTTCAATTTTTTTTTCGTTTTTTTCTATTTTTTGTGTTCCCGTTGCTATATATATATATTAATTTACTTATTGGGGCAGTGGGGCTGGCTTCACGATCAAATACATACATGTTTGATGGCGTTTTTTATTGATCCATCAATCTTATATGTATCAATAACTTAATTAATGTGCTTAAAGATGATTTAGAAGCTACATATATATATGCATGCGATGTAAAGTGTAAACAAACAAACAATATAATAATTAAAGCTTTGCAAGTTTTATTTATATATCAACTGTACGTTTATTTAGGATGGTGACGTGATGGGATATCGATATGAGCGTGACAAGAAAATGAAGTATTTGTTGTCTTATTACTGCCAAGAAAAGAGTTATGACCAAAATACTGTTGAGTTTTTGTTTGAAGGGAAACGCGTCACAGCTGCAAACACTCCATCTCAGGTAACACCAAAATTCTCTCCTATTAATTAATAACTCTTTTTTAATTCTAAATTTACTTGCCCCTGCACTCTTCTTATAAAAAGTTTTTATATATAATTTCCCCATCTTTGAAATAAATTTATCAATGGGAGTGCTGTTCTCAACGTTATGAAGTAATTAATACTTTATTTGTTATTAAAATATAAATACTTTTAAACGAAAAAAAAATAATAATATAACTATACATTATTATTAAAAATATATAAGAAATCCAATACAAATACACAAATCCCCCTTATATATTAATTCAGAACGCGCTGAGCCTATGTGGCAGGTTCGCATGCTTCGGGATCCTATGTGGCAAAATTACATGATTCCTTATTAGGTTCGGATTATCTATAAATATGTTGATTATTTATTATAGGGGTGGACGCGGTCCGGGACGGTCCTGTATTTGACTTGTCCGGATACCGATCTTACTTTTATGAATCGGTTTATGAACGGTCCGGGATGAGGCACTGTCCCCACCCATGTAATACATGGGTGTTGTACTAGTTATATGTTAAAAGGGATCTGCTCTCCTACCCACGATGGGCAGGGAATTAATATGCCCACAGCTTATGTGACATGTACACATTGAGCATAAGCAGTGGGAGAGAATTAATATGCCGAATGGGTATATGCCACATAAGTGGTGGGCATATTAATTCTCTGTCCACCGTGAGTAGGGAAGAAGATCCGTGTGTTAAAATATAATACTTTTGAATGGGTAATAAGAAATACTAAAAAAAAAAAACGAAAGACATGTCATCATCTTTTGCAAAACAAAAAAATCCAAATACACAAATTATATGTTAAAATTCATTTCATTTTTTTCTCTATTGTAACTTTTTGTAAAGTACTTTAGTAGATGACTTCTTCTTCTTCTTCTTCTTATTCTTCTTCTTCTTCTTCTTCCCCATTAGATCTGCCTTTATTACTTTCATTGTCTATGTCGCCAACTCCCTAGTGGAGAGAATATCAAGATTTTGTCCCTCAAAATTCAAAAAATAGTTTCTTCTTCTGCTCCATAAGCTCTGTCTTTATTACTTTCATTGTCTATGTCGCCGACTCCCTAGTGGAGAGAATATCAAGATTTCGCCTTCAAAATTCAAAAAATAGGTTAATTTCCAAACATTTTTCGTATAATTTGATGAACCATGGAAAAAGCCAAATCATGCCCAAGTGTATTTTATTAACAACAATAGCTCGCTGAAAAAATTAGTGCATTCGATAAAATTGAGATATGAGTAGAGATGAAAACAAAAAAATGAAGATAAAAGACGCAAAATCATCATCAGAAGAAAAATATGAAAAGAGATTTACAGTTTTTTGGCAATATAACTGTCAAAAATCCTCAAAAGGCATGCCAGTTACAAATTTAAAAAATTAAAAATAAATGAAAAACCCCAAAAAAATAAAAGTGATGTGAGTCCATGTAAAAGTTATATATGTAAAAGAAAAGAGTAATTTTGTCTAAATAATAAGTGAGTGTTTTTATGTAAAATGTTTAAATATAAAGATATAGGGCATCATTAATTCTAAAATATTTCATATCGGAAAATAACGATTTTGTCACCGGTTAATATACTAATTTAGGGAAATGCTCACATGCCCACGGTGGGCATATGTTAATATGTCCACCAACTTATGTGGCATGCACACATTGGTGATGTATTTTTTTTAACATATTAACATCACCAATGTGTACATGCCACATCAGCGGTGGGCATATTAACATGTGTGGGCATGTGAGCATTTCCCTACTAATTTATACCCGATTTTGTAAAAAATATATTTTTAATACAATTATATTACCTTATTTATAAAATTTCACGCTTAATTTTAATATGTTTATATTATAATTAGATTTTAATTAATTTTATTACATATTTTAATAATATATAATAAAATTAGTATTATACATTATTTATATTTTAACAATAAATTAATTTAATATTTATTGAAACTAATAAAAAAGGTTGAACTAGTTGAACTATGTACCGGTGGCTCGTTCAGTACTGTACAGTATTTAAAACACTGCTCACACGGACCACTTTCTATACATTTTTTTGTAAATAAACTGCTATCAATTTGATGTATTTTCTGTTTGAATGAATTTTACTTAGCTGGAAATTAAGGATAATGATGAGATCGAAGTCATGCTGCACTGCAGTGGTGGTGGATTTTGCTCGTCCAATACTCTCAACCATTAAATAGGAAATTAATAGGATTTTGCTTAGCATTGTCCAAATTATGAATGTGCAGATAGACTGCAATGGCCCCGACTTTAGTTGTTATTAGTCCAGCTTATTTTCTCCTACAGATGTGGATGTAACTATTGTAGTTCTTAAATTTGAGATTGCATT